AAATGGAGACCAAAGAACAACATGAAGTAAGATCTACAAGAACTGTTAGACCTAAATACAAAACATAACCATGGTTTATTAGAGAAGTTAGAGAAGTTAAAATTTGATATAATTTGCCTACAAGAAGTACATATTAAAAAACAACATCAACGATTATTGGTACGACCAAAATTGGGGAAAAATTTTACTTCCTTGACTAACCGTAAGAAAAGAGGAGTGGTCCTGTACATTAAAGAAACTATTGCAGCAAAATTGATTTATACTGATGAAGATGGAAGAGTATTAATGGTTGAAATAGTGGATAACAATATAAAAACACTGCTTGTTGCAATTTATGCTCCGAATGATAAACAAGAAGAATTTTATAAAAAGTTACAAATGAAATCAATTGGACTGGACCATGTTAATATAATTATGATGGGAGATTTTAATGGAATTGTAGATAATAAATTGGACTATACAGCGACAGCATTAAAACAAAATAGAAAGACTCTCCCTAAATCCTTTTTTAAAATGGTAGATGAATTAAATTTAAAAGATATATGGAGAGAAAGAAATGGTAAAACCCAACAATATACTTTTTATTCAAATAGACATTTATCATGGTCCAGAATAGATATGATTTGGACTTCATCAGAATTAATATCTACCATTCAAGAAATAAATATAGAAACGGGTATATGGGCAGACCATAATCCAATGACAATTAAATGGAAAGGACAAAGAAGAAGATCTAGATGGACATTAAACAATGCTATTTTAAAGGAAAAAGACTTTACACAATGGATGGGCAAAGAATTGGCTTTCTTCTTCAGTGAAAATAAAAAAGAAGATACTTCAATGCAGAATGTTTGGGATACAATGAAGGCATATGCGAGAGGATTAATAATGGATTATACAAAGAAAAAGAATATTAGGAAGAGGCAAACTATTAAAGCTTTAGAAGATGATTATAAAAAACTGGAAAAAGAATTGCAGAATATGCCACAGAAAAAAGATATTAAATTCAAAATGGATATAATTAAACATAAGATGGGTCAGGCAGAGAAAGAAGAATTGGCACAAAAAATTAGAAGTGCTAAACAGAACTATTTTGAAGATGTAAACAAACCAGGCAGATGGCTAGCATACAAATTGAGAAAGGAGAAAGAATCTAGGAAAATAGTACAGTTAACAGATGATCAAGGCCAAATGTGTTATGGTAATAAGGAGAAAAAGACAATTATCCAAGACTTTTATGGACAATTATATAAGCAGGAGGATTTTGATGAGGAAAGAATTAAGCTTTATCTACAAAATGCTAACCTACCCAAGATATCTGAAGAGACTGAAAAAATGTTAGAAAGTACTATAACAATGATGGAACTAACGGAAGCATTTAATAGGCAGAATAATGGAAAAGCACCAGGCCCAGACAGGCTCCCGGCAGAATTTTATAAAACATTACAAGAATCGTTAAGCACTCCACTGTTAGAAGTTATGAATGAAGCCATATTAAATAAGAAAATACCCCAAACATGGTCAGAAGCTTATATCACACTTATTCCAAAAGAAGGGGCCAATCCATCACAAATTAAGAACTATAGACCTATTTCTTTACTGAATGCAGATTATAAAATTTTTGCTTCCATCTTGGCAGGAAGGCTCAAAAGATACGTAAATAACTTTATTCATCCTGACCAGAATGGATTCCTGCCAAAGAGACAAATTAGGGATAATATGAGGGTAATTCTGGACACCTTTACGAGGCGCATCCTGAAAAACAAATGGCTTTGATATTTTTAGATGCCCAAAAGGCATTTGATAATGTAAACTGGAGATTCATGTTTTTGTTATTGGAACAGATGGGCTTTGCTAGAAAATTTATTCAAGCAATAGAAGCCATATATGATAAACAAACAGCAAGAGTAATGATAGAGGGAGATTTTACAGATTCTATTAATATAAGAAAAGGCACAAGACAAGGTTGCCCATTATCACCTTTGTTATTTGTATTGACTTTGGAAGTGCTGAATAGAAACATTAGAGAGGATCCAAATATAAAAGGAATGAAAATTAAGAAGGAGGAATTTAAAATGCAAGCCTTTGTGGATGATTTGGTTTTTATTTTGGAAGATCCTCTAGGAACAGCTTTAAAGCTACTGGAAAAGATAGAGCTGTATGGTGAGATGGCGGGCTTGAAAATAAACAAAGATAAAACAAAGATCTTGACAAAGAATATGTTATTAAAACAAAGAGATGAACTGGCAGATTTATTGAAAATTCAAGTTACGAATAAGGTTAAATATTTGGGGATACATTTGACGTCAAGATGTACTACATTGAAAGAGAATAACTATATTAAACTTAAACAACAGATAACATCTGATTTGAAGAAATGGGAAAACCTACAATTGTCATTGATAGGTAGAATTTCAACAATCAAGATGAATATCTTACCCAGAATTTTATATTTGTTCCAAACCATACCAATCAGGCTTGGTAAAGATTACTTTGAAGAATTAAATAAAAATGTGTTGAAGTTTATATGGCAAGGTAAGAAAGCCAGAATAAAATTAAAACTTCTACAAGATGCTAGAATTAGAGGAGAATTTGGCCTTCCGAATTGGGAGTTGTACTACCAAGCTGCAAATTTAATGTGGGTTAAAGAATGGATAACATTAAGAAAGACTAGATTGTTGACATTAGAAGGACATGATTTATTACTGGGATGGCATGCTTTTCTGTGGTATAAGGGAACTAAATCGCAGGGCTATTTTAGAAGGCATTATATAAGGGAGTCTTTATGGTTGAATTGGGAGAAAATTAAGAGAAAATGTTATTTGAAAATCCCAGTCTGGTTATCAACTATTGAAGCCTTTTCTTATCCTATAATATATGAGAAGGAACAAACAGTTAGATATGGGGAAATATTGGATGAAAAGAGTGAACTTAAAACAATGCAAAAACTAGAAGAACAAGGCATAAAGATGAATTGGTTTTCATATGCGCAAATACATTCAAGGTATCTTATAGATTCTAAAGCGGAGAGATTTTATGATAAATTGACTGATTTAGATAGGATCTTGACAGGTACTGATGAAAAAGTGATTTAAAATTATACAGTTATTTGTTGGAAATTTTATTAGAGGAGGAACAAGTTAAAGAAACGATGATTGTTTGGGGGAAGAATTTTGGATATGGGATTGATTTGGAGAAATGGGAAAAATTGTGGTCTCAAAATTATAAAATGACAATGTCAACAGCTTATAAAGAAAACTTGTATAAGATGTTTTACAGGTGGCATTTTTCCCCGACAAGAATTGCAAGAATGTTTTAGAACAAATCTGAAAAGTGCTGGAAATGTCATCAGATACCTGGCTCATACTACCAAATGTGGTGGACTTGTGAGGACTCTAGAAAATATTGGACTAAGATTCGCATATGGTTGGAAAAAATGACAAAGACAGATATAGACTTGAAACCAGAGATTTTTTTATTGGGAATCTTACCTGATATATATAATAAAAATTTGAAGTATTTGATTGTAAATATATTAACAGAGGCTAGGATTGTATTTGCTAAAAACTGGAAGAGTGAGAAAACTCCATCAGAGGAAGAAATTATTAAGAAAATATTGGATTGTGCTGAAATGTGTAAATTGACATTTGAAATTAGAGAACAAGAAGATAAACAATTTTATGAAGTTTGGGATCTTTTTCATTAATGGTTAGATAATAAAACATAATAATAGAATATTCAGATTTAGCATAAAAAAATTTTTTCCTTTTTTTTGATATTATCTTTATAAAACATTATCAAGATAGATTTGGTATGATCTTATGATTTATTGCAAAATAAACTAAGTAAACTATAGTTATCTCGTTAAAATATGAATTAACAAAATTATAGATAAATGGTTTTTTTAGTGATGATATTAGGTTATACAATTATTGATTGATAATATGAGCTATTATGTAATATAATTATATTAGTGATTAGGAAATGGATGCACAAAAAAAAAGTGGTAAACCAATCGATGCACTGTTTGTAAATTTATGAAGAAGGATGATATTTTTATGTTTTATGTGGTATGTCTATGTTGTTTTGTTGTTAAAATAAAAAATTTTTTTTTAAAAAAAATACAGAAGCCTGATGATGGCAGATGAGATTCTGCCGAAACATTGCTACAACTTTAAAAGCACAACTATAATGACGTGGGAAAATACCCAAACACAGCTGAATACCATACATATAAATACCCGCGAAAACTTAAGAAAATACACACACACACACACACACACACACACACACACACGGCTTCATGCAAGGAAATTGCATGGTCCCAAAGACTCATTTCTGGTGGAGTTTGGGGGGAGAGGAAGAAAGACTTTTGCTGCTTTCCTTGCATGCAGCCAAAAGCAGAAGAAAGAAGCAGAAAGAAGCAGTCCAGTAGCCAGGTAAGGCATGTGGGGCAAGTGGGGCAAGTCCCCCCCACCCTTTTCCCCATTCCCTCACTACCTCCTGTTGTTCGCAATGCAAGCAATGCAAACCTTGTGTTTCTATGGGCCATGTGGGTGGTGCAGCCTTGTGTTCCCGCTCAGCCTGGATTAATTGCTAGGGGTGGTGCTTTGGGGGTGACATTTCTCTATGGGCCACCAAAACTTTCTCATGGACTACCATTGGTTCCCGGCCCACTGGTTGGAGATCATGCATTAAAGTATTCTGAGATCACTTCCTCAATAATATGCAGGAATAAATAAATATCAACTTGATTTGTTTCAAATAAACAAGATAATTGACTGGAATCCTGAAATATGGACACAACTTTATAATTTCTGATTTCTTACAATAAGAATCCAGGAGGTAACTGACAAATGGAAACTGATTAATTAAATCCATGATTAGCTTAGCATACATTTACTTCAGAGAATAGCTAGATCAATCTTCCTATATAATCAAATAGGTTATTGGATCAAATCATAATGGATCAAAATTCTAATGCAATGTTATATCATTACCTGGATCTGTAGCAGACATGAAAGAACCGAATAATAAGCAGTCAGTGAAGTGAAAATCACCAGAGTTCAGCTGATTGACATGCACAAGAGCCTTTACAAAGCCATACATTATCAACCTGCAGTATTGGGAAAGAAGAAGAAAAGGCTATTGAGGACAATAAAGACACATTTTAATGTTCGTCTTTCCACGAACTTTTTTTTTAAACTAGGAAGTTCTACTCATTAAATTTATATTGATACAGTTATTACTGCCATTGACATTGCAATTATCATGTTAGTCTTCTTCTATTTTAGCCCTGAAAAATTGGATCAAATTTTTCTAGACATTTGGGAAACAAATGTTTTTTCACTGTTATTAGTTTCCTTGCTTAGATGATAATATATTCAGCCACTTATCTCTGACAATAATATGAATTTCTTCTTTCTAAAGAAGAAATTATCATGAATACAAGTAGTGCTCGACTTATGTGCACAATTCAGCCCCAAATTTTGGTTGTTAAGTCAGACATTTGTTAAATGAGTTTTGCTCCATTTTATAATCTTTCTTGTTTCAGTAGTTAAGTGAATCACTGCAGTGAATAAGTTAGTAACCTGATTGTTAAGTGAATCTGGCTTCCCCATTGACTTTGCTTGTCAGAAGTTCACAAAAGGTGATCACATGACCTTGGGAGACTGGAGCAATCATAAATATAAAACAGGTGCCAAGTGGCTGAATATTGATCACATGAGCATGGGGATGCTGCAAAGGTCATAACTGGGGGAAATGGTCATAAGTCACTTTTTTCAGTACCATTGTAAGTTTGAATGGTCACTAAATGAACTGTTATAAGTCAAGGCAATGTTATAAGACAGACTACCTGTAGTCTGTCTAAACTCATAGACATTTCACAGAACTAGCAGAACACAAGGTGCTGTATTGGTGACTTCTGATGCTGCTAAAGGGTTTGTTTAGCAGCTTTTCAAGTTTTATTGGTTTATTTATACTAATAATACAATAGTACAAGTTATATTAAAAGTTAAAGCTAGGCACTAAAAAGATAGACATTAATATTTCTGAGACATTAATATTTTCAACCAACAAGTTAGTACTGAACAATCTTGACAATTTCAGAAAGGTGGAAAGGAAGAATGGAAGAGAAAGTGCATTTAATAGTAATAGAAAATTTCTGCAGTTATGTTATTTGATTGATGTAAGTAATATTAATGTTATTTTCTCCTGTGTTATCACTTTGAGTATATTTAAACCTCATAAAAGTTACTGTCTTTTTCAAGTAAATATAAATGCCTTGCACTTAAATTCTTCCTATTGTATCCTAAGCAATTTTACAGGGCTTGCTTATAACAAGTACTGCTACATTGCCAAGGTTCATGGTCCAATGGGCCTATCATGGCAGCATCAGAGGTGGTATTCAGTAGGTTCTGACCAGTTCTGTAGAGCTGGTAGTGGAAAATTTGAGTAGTTTGGAGAACCGGCAAATACCATCTCTGACTGGAGATTTTACAATGTCCTTCTCCTGCCAAGCCCACCAAGCCACACCCACGAAACTGGTATTAAAAAAATTGAATCCCACCACTGGGCAGCATACTTCATTGTGTTGCCACCAGTTTACAACCCTAGTCCATACTTTCTTAGGGTCCTGAGATGGACATCCTCTAGTCTAGAAAATGGAGGTGTCTTATCCATTTCTTAGGCACAGAGAGTAGTGGGTGATATTACTGTGTTGATTCCTACTGCCAACTCTCAAGTATTTGATTATTTACCAGCTACAATGAATTGAGCAAGTATGTTGAATGAAATGAAAAATATTTTTCCATTGTATAGTTGGAATTAGTGTGTAAAAGCACAGCATCATCATTCATTCTGTGGCAGTCAAAGCTCTCAGAATAAGATAGGATCTAAATTTTAGACTCTACTTTCCACTGGGACATCTAAGAGTTAATATGGTTGCCTTGAGCCTTACATATACATAAAGACAAAGGTGGTATTCAACAGGTTCTGAACAATTCTGGAAAACCCATAGCAGAAATTTTGAGTAGTTCAGAGAACCAGCAAGTACCATCTCTGACTGGAAATTTTACAGTATCCTTCCCCTGCCATGCCCACCAAGCCATGCCACAGAACTGATAGTAAAAAAAATGGAATCCCACCACTGCTTAAGGAACCAAGTATATATCAAACACTGCTCTTTTTTAATGTAAGTTGTGACACCCATTGAATAGGGAAGTGGATTTGATTGTATGCTTGTAGCCATCAACACAATTGTTTTTTAAAAAAAATTCTTTAGGGATAATCCTGTCTCCAGCAAATAGAATTATTCTTTCCTTAACATTACTATAATTAACAGACATCAATCATATATATTTCTCCGCTCTGTTAAATCTACATGGAAACAAATTACCAGCAAAGTGATTGATGTACTGCAGAATATACTTAACAGATTATTTTCTCAATTATGATCTCAATTAATTACCCAAACTGCCTGACTTCAGACAACACATCATACACTCTACACAGCTGTACTAGCTGGTTAAGAGTACTGGTTAAGAGAAAGCTGAGGCATCTTGACTTACTTCCCTCTGTTTAAAAATAAATGGAGTTTAGTGTGTGAGGGTGCAGTACTCAATAAAACCTGCAGTTGAATTGTTGCAGTTGAAGGTAATAACTGCATACTACTGAAGCTGGCATTCATTTAAAATTACAAAGAAAAAAATTAAATTGAGTTGACATCTTTGTTTATATGTTGGTTTGTTCAGTCACGCTGAATTCTCTGTCCAGACACCTGCATTCTATGTATTGATTAAATGTCAAGGAGATGCATTCACCATTGTTAAATCATGTCTTCTTCTTGTAATCTTCCTAAAACATTAATGGATTTAGTTGTACTAAAATTGTATTGAACATAGTTTTGTGTTCTGATAATTTTAATGCACATCTCAGTTGCCCAATGTAGAGTATCCTACTCTTATTAGATGCCCTCAGGCTTTTCTGTTCTAGACGTGATTACCTTATAGCCTAAAGCTTCTTAACAGCTGATACTGTGTGAAAACATACACTCAAATATAATGAAATATTTGGTTGTTATCTCAGAACAGAGCAAATGTAACACAGTAAAACTGAGGCAATATAGGAATAGGATATTTGTTCATTCTGTACAAGGACAAGCAAACTCAGACTATTAGGTACATTTAAAATTTAAAGAGTCACAAGATAGCTGTGACTAGGTGGGGTATTTTTGCATCCATAAAATGGTTATATTTGGGGTATCTGGTAAAAAGACATCATCACTTCCTGTCACCACTTTTCCTCCATATAGTAATATTACCATTTGGTTTTTTTCCCCCTGGGCAAGTCAACAGACTTCCAAACAAACTATTTTATTGCAGTCATCTATCTTTTTATTTTTGAAAGCATGTCTCCATGTCCTTCATGGAGTTCAAAGGCATGTCAGCTGCCTATTTAGTCATTTATTTTAAAGAAAGGAATATCACAGTAAGTTGGAGTGGCTGTGAATTGAGATTCAATGATATCTCTGAATGGAATTACACTTCTCTATACCACCGCTTTTATCCATTTGGAAATCATGATTAGGACAGCTTTTACGCATTTGGTGTAACTGTTCTATCCTTTCCCGGTTCAGTTCACAGTCAATCAACTCCTTGTCAGCAGAAGATTGTATTATTGCAATTTGCTCTCCATCCGTTTGCCTTGAAGAATATGTAGAAGCTTAAGCTTCCTCAAAGTGCAGCTGCTTGGATGGCTATGGGTAGACCTAAAATTGTCCATATAATTCATCAAGAGCTGTATTGGCCAACAGTCAACTTCTGAATGCAATTCAAAGTATTATCACCTCTGTACCTAATATGTCTCAGAGCCTAGATATCTTTAAGACACTTGTGGGCAATAAAAGAAGAATTTTGAACACATTTTCCTTATGCATAAGTACCCTATTGCCTATCACTAACCTAGATTGATAGCTTTATTTGGCAAAAGACAATTAAGCTTTTTAAAATTGTACTTGCTAAAAGACAACTCCTTTATTCCTAAGCAGTTGAGCAAAGTCGCCCAAAGCCCTTAATTTGTTATGAGTAATATATCTGTCCAGATATTATGTATACATGTCACCAATGCTTTAAATATCCTGTAAACTGACCCACTGTGCTGTTTATAATATGATTGTGTCAGTGGTGGGATTCAAATTTTTTTATTACTGGTTCTATGGGCGTGGCTTGGTAGGCGTGGTGTGGCTTGGTGGGCATAACTTGGTGGGTGTGGTAAGGGAAGGATACTATAAAATTTCCATTCCCTCCCCACTCTTGGAGGAAAATTACTGCAAAATCCCATTCCCTCCCCACCCCCTCTAATCTGATTTCCAGCTCCATTCTCCTGTGCAGGGAAACAAAAGAAGACCCAACCAATCAGCTGGGACTCGGGAGGCAGAGAAAAGATGGGAGTGGGGCCAGTCAAAAGTGGTATTTGCCAAATTATTTCGAACTACTCAAACTCTTCTCCAGAACTGGTCAGAATCTGCTGAATACCACCTCTGGATTGGGTAGGTTCTTGTTCTTGTCTTATCATTGTTACTATATTGCATTGAGGGAAGTACTCTAAAAAGATCAAGAATACAAAAATCAGGATAACCATTAGATGACAGGAAATTATTTGCTATCATTTAATAAGGGATGTCAAACTCACAGCCTGCAGTCCGGGTGTGTCATGTGGTGGCCATACCCATGCCCAGTTTAGCAAAAGGGGAAAAAGCCCTGATACGTCATGTGACACTGCTGTAATGATGCAAGTTTGACACCCCTGATCTAATAGTTTTCAGATAATCCACTGAATGGGATACCACAGCTTTCTAATTAAGAAAGTTCTAGGATCATGTAGAAGCATTTGCTGAAAACCAACAGAATTATATCTTATTTTTAGGCCTCCTTTTGAATGAATGAATGATAAGGAGAATGAATGAGTTATAAGGAGAGTGGAGAAAGACAGCTATGATATCAGGATGCTGTACTCAGTCCTCACACATTTCCAAATAACAGGAATAGACTTTTCTAAACAATTTGTATGAAATAGCCATATTTTGTATATTAAAATTATTTTGCTTAATTTGTT